ATAACCTTCTTTTGACCACCAACCAAGCAAGGTTGGCTAAATATAGGGGGTAGTCTGACCCGATTTAGGCCAAGCCTACCTTCCTTTTCTAATCGAATTAAATTTTAGTTAAATTCAAGTCAAATTTGACTGTCAACCACGCCCGACATACTCCTAAACACCAGCCAACAAACAGTCAACCATGGCCGAACCTGCCGTCAACGCTCGAATGTTTTAAACATTTTGAAAAAGTCGACTGACGAAAATTATCTGACCTCGCCAACCTTGCTTGCGACCTACGAGCTCCCAACAATGGTTGGAGGGGGTTCGGCTGGTATTCGTGAGGCCAAATTCTGCTATGTGTGACAGGAGCTTCAGATAACCAAACTACAGAAGGCACATCTTCATGATACAGAGACTGTGTCTGTCTTGTGCTGGCGGACAGAAACTGTCCCAGACATACATGTCATGACCTCTCCTACATGTGAGACATCGATCGCAATTTCTTCAACAGACGAAAAGTTACCACCACTTCCTCAAACATTGACAGTTGTCAGATAGTATAACCAGGATGACAGGTAAGACCATGTTGATGTGATTATATGTACACATGCCATCCTCTTGGAACCACAAAACTGATTCTAACGTGCGAATAATCTGAAAAAAAGTTTGGCAAAAACAGTAGCCTTCATTATGAAATCTACATGGTAATGAAGGTCGAACAAATGACTACACACTCAAGGTAGATATGGCAAAAAATACATCCTTCATTTTCATTTCTTCGCATGTTCTTTTTCTTTGGAATTGATTTTTGCATTTTACGATATAAGTATCGTTTTCCAATATATTTGCAAGTTACGGCATATATTTGCTCATTTTGTAGCTGCTTTGTACGATTTTCAGTATGGTTGAAAACCTTTCATTTTGGAAAAGGAAGCCATCCATGCTCGCGTAGATGGCATCCATATAATCAAATCAACATGACCTAAAAAACTAGACATCGTCCATAGTGTATTACCTGTCAAGTGAAGATGACAGGATCTTGCAGTGGTCTCCAGGCAAAACATATCTTAATGGACTGTTTGGCAAAACCGAAGGTATTATCTGACACATCTCCATTACTTTGATAAGGCTGATACGTTAAGGCTTGGTTTATACTACAATTCGTCTCGCCAATTGTGCTGCCGCCCCTTGATACTAGGAAGTAGCAATGATAGATGGATTTACTTGTGATCAAAGAGAGCTTGGCAATTGTGTATCTCCGTGGAATCTGGATGCAATAAATCTTGGTCACCCAACTGTCTTTCCGGGATACCTGGCATTAGTTTTTCTTTCCTGTAAAGCAGCATCTTTACAAGTAGAAGCGTTGTTTGACATTTACCAACACCAGGAGGGAAGGACGTCATAAATGGAAAGCTTACTGGAAAAGCCACAACTTCAGGACTTGTCAGATGGTGACTTTGCTGCAACCTTGTTGCTGAATGATGTTGACTATATTGATAACCATTGAACGATTCATAAAGCTGCTACTAGTTCTTGGATGTCGTCGAATTTGCAAGGAAATTTCTTTTGTTTGCTTTTATACCTTCACATTGCTTGCTTTTATTGAGGGACATTGTCATGATGTAACAAGTTTATGATTGTAAGTCATTACCTGAATCTTTTAGAATTTGGTGGCTCAAACAGTTGTTGATAATTGTTTTGTTTAAAGGTTCCTAAAGCAGTTTTTAGGGTGTAAAAAAGTCAATATTCTAACCACTTATCTAGTAATTTGAAAGAACACCGTCCCAATGTAGAGAAACATTCATGGAACAAAAATGACGCAAAATTGTGATGGAAAACGGTTACTGGAAAGGCCCTGGGCTAATTTTTATGGAGCACCATGCAGAAAATTAAGGAGTCATCTTGGAGCTTGTTTCTACAATGTTGTAAATACCCAAAAGTATGAAAGACTGCAAATGTGCTAATGGGGAGAAGTATGTGTCAATAACATACAGATTGCCATGTTTAGAATATGCCACTTTTACCACTCTGAAATTACATTGGGTGCCATTAGGCTAATGTACATTTTAATGAAGGTATAGCTGCACATTAATTATCTACGAACCACTACTTTTATAAAAAGCTGGTTTAACCGTGCTATAATGATATGATGATACGATAGTTTATACATCGTCTAGTGTTGTGAAAGAGTAAATTAGGCAGATTTCATTTGCATTGTTCAGACTGCTGTGACGAGGCAGGTGATGTTAGGTCTATTGTGTATTCTACTCTACACTATGTGCTGATGTGAATACACATATTTTGTACCGGTGTAGCAGTACTATGTATAAAAGCATGAAGCAACAAACAGAAACACAGGTAACTTATGTAAACTTTACTGCCATCAAGTTCTCAATCTTATAATCTTATTATAATCTTATTATATATATATATATATATATATATATATATATATATATATATATATATATATATATATATATATATA